ATTCTTTAGAAACATAATCAACTATTTTATACTATCCTAAACTGAATTCTCTTTACATCACTTTTTAATTTATAAATTATTCCATATTTTGTTTGAATCGATCATTTGTTTTGTTATTCAGACATAACATCGATTATTCAATATTCAATAATAATTGAAAATATAGAAGTTTACAGCATAGATTTTTTTTATAACCATAAGTCTATGGGGTATTACTCTGTGGGATTTTAGTTTATATCATACATGGTTGACAGCATAGAAGTTTGACTGTAATATAGACTGTAATATTAATAGTATTGCATTTCAGAGTCATTTCACTTCTCAATAGAACACAAATACTTCTTCATTCAATCACTTCACTATAAAAACTACATTTTGTCGTTGAGTACACTATACGAGCCAACGCTTGTCCGACCATTTGTTATACTTTTCCTGTCTCTCATCTCCAATAACTTATCGAAATTAGTTTTCACTCCATTTCAAGCATTTATTTCACAATAAAACTCACAATTTGTATATATTTCACACAATTAAACATTCATATAATTCAAGTTGTCATACATTTTACAATATATACTATTTTGTAATAAACATATTTTACAGACAAAACATAGAAATAATTGATTATAACATCGATATAATTGAATAAATGGTCGCTTAAAATGTTTTGACACGATATTAGAGACATTCTGGAGAAATGTTTATAAATATTTATTGAAAACTAAAATTTCAAATTAATTCTGTATTCAATGACAAATCGTCTTTTATATCAATCAATACATTAATGCATTCATTTAATGGCAAATATTAATTAATATCCCAAATAGAGAACCAATATATTAGTAGTTTCTTTCTATATCTCATCAATTAATGTAATTTTATTATTTTAATTAATATTAAAGTTTGTGTTTTACACATTGTATGCAAACATTAAATGTTGATATCTCTAACAAAATGATAAAATAGCTAAATATACGGCAAAATTAAATCAAATCTATTAGTTTGAATTCAACAGGATTTTTGTCTTTAATGACGTGAATATATTTCTTATAAATGGGACCAATTTGTTGGCCATAGCATTGATCCACGAATTGATTCTTAGTGTTTGCGTTGAACTTTTCAATCGAGTAAAACACTGTCCCCGCAGTCAATGCATACAAGTTCTTGTTCTTCGGATCCAATGCCACCTAAAATGACAATTCAAACCAATCATTACGTGAATACACAACGAGTAAAACAA